TACCTGTAGTATTTGTTTTAAAGTATGCTCGCACCCCTGTACTTTCGTGGATAATAACCTCACAAGCGGGTAGAACGGATATCTGTGGACCTTCCCAAATAACTTGAATATTACCAACGGAGAGGAAAGCAGTCTCAAGAGTTACGAGTTCGGCAAGCACAAGATGGCCCACAAGGTTTTTCTTTTCGTTGGCGTTGTTCTCTGTAAATCTGAGCCGGGGGTTCACAGTTCTGTCCCAACTGTGGAACTTCCGTCATGGCTCGTAGCGTCGATGGCCAGGTTGGAATCAACGTGAGTGAATCGGTTATCTGATTAAAGCCCCCGCTGATATACACATAGATGCGCGCGCTCGCCGATCTGGACCTTTGGTCTCTGTCAGTCTCCACGACCGACGGCGCCAAAGTCCCGCCGCTTTACGAGGTCCCAGAGCCCATCGCCAGTGGTACTGTCCCCGAAGGGACATCCACCTATCACGGGAGCTGCCACTGCGGCGCCATAGGCTACACGCTCCGGGTCCTAGCCCCTGAGACCCTCACCAGCGTAAAGGACTGCAACTGTAGCATTTGCTCCCGAGTAAATCCCTATTCGCTCTCTCTCACTATTAATGTGTGTGTTGCTAACAAAGCGTTTGAAACAGAATGGCACCCTCTGGGATTATCCGAAAACGAAAGACGTGACGTTCAAAGGCCTTGATTCCTTGAGCGAATACACGTTCGCGAGTCGGACGGTGGAACACGGCTTTTGCAGCATCTGCGGTGTCTCAATCCGCGCACGGTTTGTCGGGGACACGACGGACATGGCGCTGAATTTACCCACGTTGAATGGGTTCGATCTGTCCACCTTGGACATCAACAAATCAGACAACAAGTCGAGGCCGCCGGTCTACGAATTGTAGGAACTGGCGCGTGTGGCGCACACGATGTACTTTTATCCGCTGTCGTTTGAACAAATGACACTGATTCAGAGTGGCGAACCGTGGAGGGTTTCAAGCTTAGATAGACTAGGGACATCTGAAGCGACGCCCCTTGCTGACTCGGAGTTCAAGAGAGCTGGCCGTATGTACTAGCCTGGCAGCATTGCGGGAATTGACTTGATTCAGACTAACCAGAGCCGTGGAGAGTAGCGGTTCTCATCTAATGGACTAACACGAGAATGGAAATTGAGAGCCGTGCTATTTCAGATTTTACTAGAAAACAGAAATACTTACCCCGATGAACAGGCGCTTCTTATCAGGATTCCTTCTCGAGATCAAATCCCTGCGGGAATTCCTAAGCAGGAGGGAAATGAGATAAGAGTCTGAGTGAGGCGCAAGACGTTCAGCGAACAGCCTCAAAAAGATGGCGGCTATTCTCCTGATTCGGACGTCGGGAGTCGAGCCCGGTCTCCCACATCAACTCTTTCTGTGCCAACACACATAGGCGTGGGTGTGCACCGTGCATTGCGGTACGCACGAAGCTCTGTCAATTGCTTGTGCATGTAGTGCCAAACGGAGAGGAGCATAGTACGGACCACAACTGTGTCGTCCACGACGTGGTCGTTCGTTCGCCTGACGGAGAGTGTGTCGGCGATCCGTAGGAAGGTCGTTATACAGCCTTGAGACAGCAACGCGTCTTGAAATAGTTCATTATCGTGGTTGTCTTGGACAAGCGAGATGACCCCGGAAGCCATCAAGAGCTCCACAGCTGCATGGGATTGGCGGGCCACATAGTGATTGAGATGCATTATGACGAGCGATGCCAGATGGGACGGAGTACCGCCGGCGCCTTCTGCAAAGTCTTGCAGATAGTGTGAACCTCGTCGCCGTCGCCGCCTATGTGCTGAATGGCATTGACTAGCGAGAAACATGCCGACCATACGAAGGGCTTCCATCGCATCATCCGATATTTCCTTCTTTGGTTCAGGAATGAGCAGCTTCCAGCCACGTGCGATAAGAACACAGAGACTGGGGATCTGGTGCATTTCTTTGGCTATCTGTCCGTCTCGATGTAATTCGCCGACAACCAACAAAATGGCAACGCAGAGAGAGAAGTCTGGATAAGCGGATAGACGCGGAACGTACGCCCAATAAACGTAGAAGAACTCCACCCAGAGGCGAACCCGGTTCCATATGGCCACCCTAGCATTGGTTGGGATATAATATCTCCGATGGGCAAGGTAACGCAAAGAGTAGAGGACGTGTTCGATTGGGAGGTCGGCGGAATTGTTCTCGACTTGTTCCACAGTTGGAATGAGTCGAGGATGGAGGTTGGAATAGAAGGCCGGGAGGAATAGACTGGCTTGGTCCTTTGCAACTGTGTCTGTGAGGCGAAGGAGAGTTTTGATGTCTGCCGTCGACCCGGCTGCGGCGGCCCTTGAGACTGGCTGGACATCGGGGTAAGGAAGGCTGAATAAGTAAGAGAACATAAGACATCCTCACCCTGAAGCGCAGCGGGAGTTGAGAAACTGCAGGCTCGAGGTGAAGAACTTGAGGTAATCGCGACATGAAAGAAGCGAAGAGATTCTGTTTTTTGGCAGCGTGAGACAGTGATGTGATCGGATAACGATTCCTGTTGTGTTCAAGTTGGTTTTTTTTTGTCTGAGAGTCGGTGCGATTTCTTTGGACGGTGAGTGCATTTCTGGGGCCACTACCACATACATCGGGAGGCGGAAAAAGTACGCTCCCAAGACCGTCTTGAACAGGAATAAAAACAAGACCAAATGCTGGAAGGTACGCGCTTAGGGGTAGGGAAGGAACGTAGCTGGCGTGAAGAATCTTTGAAGGGCAAAAAAGGATTCCAAAAAGCGATGTGGTAAATTATTTACTCGGACGCTGGGAGTCGAACCCAGGTTTCCCGTCAATTATGTGAGAGATGAGAATCAGTAAGAGAATCAGTAACGGGCGTGCACCGTGCACCACGTCTGAATCGATATTCATTGTGGGTAAATCAGGAGGTGAGCGAGATTTCAACTTCTAAAGTTGAGTTGAGGGTGCACAGGTCAAGCTGTTCTCAGATTACTTGTCTCCGTTCAAAAGTTGCCATTTTCCGACGGCCTGACGAGCCTGAAAATACAGCTTGGGTCCAAGATAAACTTCCGGGAATCGTCCTGGGATTATGTGCCAGTGAATATTCTGGAGCAGCGAAGGAGTTCCAAAGAAAGGCAGTGTGCGCCACGTCCGAATCGATATACATTGTGGATAAACAAGGAGGTGGGTGAGAGTTCAACCTGCTCAATGAGGAGTTGCTAGTAAGGGTGCACCAGTCAAGCTGTTCTCAGATTACTTGTTCCCGTTGCCGTATTCCGATGCTTTAGGTGGGCATTGGGATATTGAGGTTCGGACATGGCACGAGCACGTGCGACATTCTGCCTGCAGTTTCAGAGAGAAGAACAACAACCAATATAACTTACTTTCTTCGGAAGTGGCGCTTCGTTACTCATATCTGGCATCGTCAATGAGCTCCGAGAGATGCTGCGCAGGAGAAAATGAGTTGATGGCATACGCAGAATGAACAACAGCCAAAAGAGCCTCACAACTCGATCATACAGACGCCGGGAGTCGAACCCGGTCTCCCACAGCAAGCTTCCTTATATTTATAAGTCAGCGCGGGTGTGCTCCGTACACGACGTCCGAGTTCCAGAATGGCTTGAATAGCAGGCTGGGAGGTAGCTTCAAAGCGTGCTACAACGTGAAAGGGAGCGCACTTACTGCTCTCGCTCAGGTTTCGGCCCTGGGACCGGGTCCGCCAGTGACCTCGTGAGTTGAGAATTCCACTACTAAATGATAGCGATGGAAAGATCCTTTGAGTATCGAGCGAAAGAAAAAAGGGCGGCTGGAGTGCGGTTCCATCCGGACGCTGGGAGTCGAAACCGATGTCCCATATCAAATTCAGCGGTGGTTTATCCTCTATGCGTGTGCACCATGCACCGCGTCCGATTTTTTGTTCCTGTTGTGCAGTCGGGTAAATTGGGACATCATTTGGACATGTGGGGGAGGTCTGCATAAAAGGTATTCGATCTGCGTTCGATGCATTCAATTTGTTCGGTAAAATAGAATCAACCTCGGTGAACCACACACCGTTACTGCGGAGGCCCGTTACCCTATTGTTTGGAGAAAAAGCCAGAGCTACAGTAAGCACACATCCAGACGGTAGGAATCGAACCCAGTGCCCCGCGTCCAACAAGTTCACAGCTCAAGAAAAGCTATTTCAATGAGAGCGGGTGTACACCATGCACCACGTCCGGGTTCCTCTCCATGTTTTGCAGTAGGGGAAATGGACATCATTTGGACATGTCCAGGCTCATTTTGGGGGAGGTCGAAATGGAGCCAAGGTGGTTGAGCCGAGTTTCATCTATTGTTCAGTGAAATAAAATCCACTTCGTTGTCGATCAGCCGCAGAACGTCACTACTAAAGGCATCATTCTGGTGTCTGAAGAAAAAGGCGGGTGCAGCGGGAACATCCAGACGCTGGGAATCGAACCCAATCTCCCGCGTCTAACAACTGCGAGAAGAAATTTCCAATCGTAGTGAGTGTGCACCATGCACCACGTCCGGGTTTCTGTTCTTGTCTCTCGGTCGGGGAAGTGGACACACTTTTGATCTTTACATTGATGATTGAAATCGGCGAGGTCTGAATAGAGTTGATCCAAGTTCGATGTATCGTTCAGTAAAAGCAAACAAAATGCGTTGTCGCGAGGTGCACACCGTTGTTTGAATAAAAAAGACCACAGTACTTATCGGTCATCCGGAATCGAACCCAGTCTCCCGTATGTGTCACGGCGAGAGCACTTATTAAAATCATTTAACCGCAGCGGCCATGCATGACGTCCGGGTTGAACGTCGTTAAATTTCGGAGAGACGTCACGGTCGAGTGGGAAGGGAAGGGCGGTGTTGCAGGTCTGAGCTGAGTGCAGTCGTTGGTAGATATAATGCAGGGTAGTACAGCACACACCGTCTAGGGGCAAAACGTCTTCGTCTTCTGTCAACCAGTTAAAGAAAAAAGTCGTGAGAAAGATCGACGCTATTCAGACGCCGGGAGTTGAACCCGGTCCACCTGCATTCAATGGGAAATCTTTGGCACATTGCCAGCAGGTGTGCGCCGTGCACCACGTCCGACTTCTGGTCCGACATGAATGAGAGACTGGGCTGAAAGAGACGTACGAAGGTCAAAAAAGAGATACTTACGGTGGAGAAGAGGTGCTCCATCGATATAAATAAGAGTTTGATTGGGCTCTCGCCGCAGGACCTAAATGAATCAAGAATCGAATGCGATGCCGGGACTAAAAGGAACGACGCACCTTATACGTGACGCAAAAATCCGTGCCTAACGCGAAGTGAGCGCCATGAGCCTCACGCAGATGAGAGACGGAGACGTCCGAGAAGTGAAAGGGCCCTCAGAAATGTCTGAACCTGGACTCAATCGCAGCAATACTTGTAGTTTATACAAGCCCCCCTGGCGAAGCATTCCGGCCATTTCAGAGCAAAAAGGGATTCCACCTGGATCACCAATCGGACGCCGGGAGTCGAACCCAGTCTCCCGCATGCGCATGGAGGAGCTATCTTGGCAGCGAGCATATATAGCGGGGGGTACCGTACACCACGTCCGAGATGAAGTTCAGCGCGAGGGATGCATTGCGAAGGGGATTTATCATTGGGTGGATTTTTACTGTTGCTGGAGCTCGACTCCTTCGAGAGCCTGGGCTTGGGGAGCGTGGAGGCCGAGGGAGGACAAGTTGAGGATGTACCGTATACCGTGCGAGCCTGGCAGCCGGGATTCTAGTTCTTGCAGGGGAGCTGGATGCAGACTAGCTAGGTTCTAGTCGAATGGAACCAACGCGACCATGAAAGTTGAGAGCAAGCCGACTTTGATGGATTGATCGGTAATGCCCGAAACATCTTTATGCTTGTTTCCCTGCAGCTTCCCGTGCCTGCTCTCGCTCTCGCTTTTCATGGCCCGCAATCCACCACAGGCGCCAGTGACCGGTGTCTCGACGTGTGCGGTGAAAAGAACTGAATTGTTCGCAAGATGAGCTCAGTACAATCTACATCGTCCGGAATCAGGATTTCGTGTAATCTTTTGGCAAATTCCACCTGGATTCTTGGCCCCACTACAACAGCCTACTCCTCTCAATACGCTTGCTATCACTTGCGGATACGTCGTTGCAAGCTTAAGGCCACTGGGACCAACCAATGTCGAGACTCGAGACTCGGAATGATCGACTTTTCCCCCCACCTCCCCCCAGACGAGCGAGTGGCCCGAAGTCTGAAGGCATGAACGACCCCATGCGCATGCCTTTGGGCGGTTGGCTGCGCTGCTCTCGGGGGGCTTCATGCTCACTTCGAGCCGGATCCTCAGCACGAAAACTAACTCAGTAAGCGGGGAAGGACAGGACAGCTTTCTGCTCGTAATCTGCCTGCAATCTCTCTGCCAAGGCGTACTCCCCGCATGTCACGGAGTATCTACGGTATGCTCCCATTCTCTGCCGCGCGACATCGATACTCACTCCGTCTCCCTTGCTAGCATTACACTTACCTTGCTATCGCCGCAGCTCTTCTCTTCTCGCGTTGTCCGCGTCCTCAGCGTCGGTAGCAACAAGTGTGGACGCTGCGCGTGTATACTTCCCCTCCACTGCCCCCCTCCCAAGACGCCGCAATGCCCGGTCGCAGTGTGAGGAGCCTCGCCACGATGATGCACATCGGCGCCGTGCTCCTCCGCCCCCTTCTTCCGTCTTCCCTCACATAAGACCCGGGGCCCTCCTCTTCCGCTGCATGTTCCCATGTGCTGCCAAGTGCGCCCTCCCGATTATACGTCTCACGGTAGTGGAAGCTGCGGCCTTCATCGTCCCTCCGCCGGCCGACCTCAGGTCTCCGCCTCCCCCTGACATCCGTGTCCATGTCTGCCTTCGCATCCTACCCGCGTCCGCGTACACCCCCTCACCGTCGACACTGCCGGTCCGCTCCGCTCTGTGCACGAGTATTTTACCGTCGCCCTCCCTAAGACGCCTCAATGCCCGACCGCGCGACCTGCTTCGGCGCGGTGGTGTACACCGGCCGCCCGTACTGCTCCTCCTCCACCTCTGCCCCCCGCTGTCGTCTTCCGGCGGACAACAGCCCGCAGCGCTCTAGCTCGTGCCTTACACGCCCACACTGCGTCAACGACCGCTACATCTGGCACGGCGGGCGAGCGCGAGCGCGGGGGGGGGGGGGGGGCGGGTCCTACACGTCCATATCAGATATAGCGGATTCGTCGATACCCTACGCGTTTGGGTATCACCACCTTATGCGCATAGCGCTGCACGGACGGTGCCGCCGCCGTCGTCCCTGAGGCATCGACGTTCTCATCCGTGAACGCAGGCGTCTCGGCCTCTTCCGCAAGCGGGGGACAGCAGCTACGTCGAGAGTAGGGGGCGCGGGCGGGTACACTGACGGCGCCGCCGACGTCGTTGGTCATGTGTCCACCGAAGTGAACGCACACGTCGTCGCCGACCTCGGACTCTGGCCCGCGCGCTCCGCTCGACCTCGACCCCTGTTTTCTGGACTCTGTGAGACGCGACGACCATGTCTCCATGGAGCGTATTGACCCTCTCGTTTGCGAATTCAGACTCACTCCGGCCGTCACAGCGGGTCCGCAGGGAGGCACGAAGTGCCAGCCTCTCGCCGCATCGAGTACGCGGACGGCATATCCGATGTCGTTCGTGTCCTCAGGCTATCAAGAACTCTGCTGGTCTCAAGGATGGACGCCGTGACGCCGTCGCTCGTCCAGAATATGGGCGGCGACAGCGTACGTGCAGAGAACAGCAACCTTGCCCCCATTGCCCAAGACCGTAGCGCGCGGGAGCGGAGAAATTCAAGTGAGCACGGATAGGGCAGCTTCACCTATCCACGTCCTCTCCGCCCACGCGCTGCGGTGCGCCGCGCCTGTCAATGCTCCCCACCTACGCGCAGTGTGAGCGACAGTCAAAATGCGTTGAGGACCTCTCTTGAGCTATTGAATACGGGCGGGTCGTACACTGCGAGCCGCAGCTCAGCCCGTTGGCAACTGCCCGTCTTGCGGTTCCGGGGAATACGGGTGTGCAAGCGCGCCGGCGTTGCGCCTCCCACTGACACGCTGCCCGCGACCCCCACTGCGCTCGCTCGCCGTCACTGATGTGGCGGTCATCGTTTTTGGACGCATTACCGTATGGATGGTGCAGCGCGCGCGCGGAGAGCGGCGGCCTTGTAGTCTGTGTCTAGGGAATACTACTGCGCTGCGCGCAAGGGCACGGTGGCGTATCGTGCCTCGTACATAGACGTTCCCTTCTCCCCGCCACATCCTCTCCTCGAATATCGAGACCGTCGACGGGCGGCGCGGACGCGTCCGTTGCCAATGCGCGTCCACATGGGCATCCCTGATACGTGGAGAACGAGATTTGAGGGTGGAGGGGAATTGGCCGTGCATGGGAAAGGAAGGTATTGCATCAGCGACAGCAGGCGAGCGTCGGGGTTGGGTGCCAGCCCCCGTAGCGGATGCGCGAAAGGAATGGATGTGCGATGCATGATGTACGATGTGCATTGATCACCGTACTGGACCTGATGAAGATTCTTTTGGTCGTATCTGTAGAACTTTGGAGGACTTGAGCCCATCGCCGATTTCAAATGGAGGCGGTTCCATAATTCGTTTCGTTTCGGCCGGCAGCAAAAATCCGCACAAAAAAAAAACAGGTGGACAACCGACAACCACATTCGGATGCCGGGAGTCGAACCCGGACCTCCCGCTTGGATCTCGTCCTGATGCCCATTGCGAGCGGGCTTGCACCGTGCACCACATCCGATTTATTTCTGACTGCGGGTAACGGTGTATGTAGGTTGGTGAAATCTGTTTCTGTGCGGGATTGGGGAATCACATTGAATGTGTTCAAGTTGAAGGGATTATAATACTCAACCATGTCTACGTCTGCGTCCGTTGCGATGAGAATCATGGGGAACACTCTTGGTACTCCCCAGCAACAATCTCGATGGATGAACGAGGACCAATGAGCCAAAAAAGAAGCCATAAATACTCAGTTATTCGGATGCTGGGAGTGGAACCCAGGATTCCAGCAATTCACAGACAGTTTGTTCATATATATGTTATGCCGTGCACCGCATCCGATGTGGCATTCATAGCGGCACTACTTACCATATGCGCGGGCAGTCGCAATGGACCAATGACATACTTCAAACTCTAAAGGGAACCTTGAATCCGGTACGCTTTATTATGTGTATTGTTCAGAAATGAGGTAGTATGGATTCATTGTGGCTTATTTTCGTCAGGGCAATATGGCTGTAATACTGTGTCATAATTATTTGGTGCACACCTGTGAGTGTTTTCACCAAAATTTCACCACTTCATTGTATGGTTGTAATACTATTTTTGACTGGGTAACCGGCCAAACGGGCTAGCCGGCCATTCGCTCTGTACAACGAAAGCAACCCAACATATGCCTAAGTGTGAAGTTGGGGGGCCAAGAGGGACCTATGGCGCTGGTCCATACCGAAATTGAACCGAATGTGATGTTGGGATCACATGTTGTGGCATGTTTAGGCTCGGCCGCACAGCCCCGATCAGCGTTTCCTTGGCTTCCTGCGACTGCCCTCCACCTTGCTCCCTCAGTTCTTCATCGTTCCACGATTTTTTGGGCTCATTCTACTCCCACAGTCCTGGGATTCCTTCTGCGATGCCACAGAACGCACATCCACCTTGTCTACCCCTGTGACGACCCAGATACCTCGTCACTCCCATGAGTTGTCGGTCAGACGGTTGTATCCACACCGTGGACCCCATGCATGGTATGGGTGTATGATTTGGCGTGGTGTTCTGGGATTGGTAGACCTCTATTGTTGTGCGTGGCCAAAGTTTTTCCCGCCCCAATTCCCTTCTCATCGCGGGCTTCGAGCTGAAACCCCCCAAATCTCGTGCCCGAGAGCTTTGGATTTTTTTGGAACCCAGCGCTATCTCGGTGTCAGGCCGGGCACTCTAGTATGTGGTGAGGGTCCTTATGAAACGATCTGCACCATGTTTTGGGCCGCTACAACTGCTGGGCGTGCCGAGGGTCCCGGATAGTCGGGGATGGGTCAGCCCGCACGCTATTCTGCGA